ATCATTTAGATAATGTATTCTATGCTAAATTTTCCATTTTCACTGGGTTTTAATTTAGCGTATTTTCCAGTCAGCGAAATAAGCAAAATTAAAACCCAGTGAATAATTAATCCTTTTACAGTAAAGACATTAAAAAATTATTAAGAAGTACCCTCTTGTAAAAAATTGTTGCTAAAACTAATTGCAGTTGATCAATATAATTTTGATATAAATGTATTGGGCAAATTGCTGAAACTATGCACTCTGTTTATATTTATAGTCGACTAATGGCATTAAAAAGAATGGGAATTGTAGATAACTATGAGGTAAGTTCCACACTACATTCACACAACTAGAATTGTGCAATATTTATATAAAGATAATAAAATCTGAAATTGTTATAATCTAGTTGTATACACATGGAAATGCCTTCCTCATTTGTTATTTAGGTAGAAACAGTGTGGCTAATCATAAATCACAATCTCACTTTCTGTGAACATGGCTAACCCTACTTGAAGGTGGTTGCTATCACATATACACAGGTGTAGTTATAGTGATCACCTGAGAAAGTTGCTATAGAGAGAGACGTCTTCTTGCGCAAAGACATATCATGATTCAGTAAATTATTTGATAATGATCTCAATTACTGCAATTTTACCAACCATGGCAAAGTTGCTGGCTGTGTGTTGATGATAATTTTTGATCTTGAATGGATATTTTGTTGATGTGAGCCATTACTGCAGAATATTCTAATATCACATTTACCACTGATGTGATAATAAGATATTGACATCAATTATTATTTTACAGCATATCAGAGATTTGACAGTAGCTGTGGTTGGTATCGGTGGTGTAGGTAGCGTAGCTGCAGAGATGTTAACAAGATGTGGCATTGGCAAGGTTGGTATAAATGATTAAAGGGTACAGTCCAAATAAGGGTATGGTTGCAGATATGGTAGTTAACGATTTGCAAGTATCTCCAATGTAGTAGTGTTAAATTTTGAATTCAAATCAATGTGTTATGTTGTATAGTGATTTTCTGGTGAACTTGGGTGTTGTCTTCATGATAATGATCATTCTACCACATTTCTTTAAGCAGTGTGCGTTCTAAGTCAATATGGTGTGTCATTGATGCAGTGTGCCTTCTAAGTCAATATGGTGCATCATTGATGCAGTGTGCCCTCTAAGTCAATATGGTGCGTCATTGATGCAGTGTGCCCTCTAAGTCAATATGGTGCGTCATTGATGCAGTGTGCCTTCTAAGTCAATATGGTGCGTCATTGATGCAGTGTGCCGTCTAAGTGGTGCATCATTGATGTAGTGTGCCTTCTAAGTGGTGCGTCATTGATGCAGTGTGCCCTCTAAGTCAATATGGTGCGTCATTGATGCAGTGTGCCTTTTAAGTCAATATGGTGCGTCATTGATGCAGTGTGTCCTCTAAGTCAATATGGTGCGTCATTGATGCAGTGTGCCCTTTAAGTCAATATGGTGCGTCATTGATGCAGTGTGCCCTCTAAGTGGTGCATCATTGATGCAGGGTGCCCTCTAAGTCAATATGGTGCGTCATTGATGCAGTGTGCCTTCTAAGTCAATATGGTGCATCATTGATGCAGTGTGCCCTCTAAGTCAATATGGTGTGTCATTGATGCAGTGTGCCCTCTAAGTCAATATGGTGTGTCATTGATGCAGTGTGCCCTCTAAGTCAATATGGTGCGTCATTGATGCAGTGTGCCCTCTAAGTCAATATGGTGTGTCATTGATGCAGTGTGCCCTCTAAGTCAATATGGTGTGTCATTGATGCAGTGTGCCCTCTAAGTCAATATGGTGCGTCATTGATGCAGTGTGCCCTCTAAGTGGTGCGTCATTGGTGCAGTGTGCCCTCTAAGTGGTGCGTCATTGATGCAGTGTGCCTTCTAAGTCAATATGGTGCATCATTGATGCAGTGTGCCCTCTAAGTGGTGCGTCATTGATGCAGTGTGCCCTCTAAGTGGTGCGTCATTGATGCAGTGTGCCCTCTAAGTGGTGCGTCATTGATGCAGTGTGCCCTCTAAGTCAATATGGTGCGTCATTGATGCAGTGTGCCCTCTAAGTCAATATGGTGCGTCATTGATGCAGTGTGCCCTCTAAGTCAATATGGTGCGTCATTGATGCAGTGTGCCCTCTAAGTCAATATGGTGCGTCATTGATGCAGTGTGCCCTCTAAGTGGTGCATCATTGATGCAGGGTGCCCTCTAAGTCAATATGGTGCATCATTGATGCAGGGTGCCCTCTAAGTCAATATGGTGCATCATTGATGCAGTGTGCCCTCTAAGTGGTGCGTCATTAATGCAGTGTGCCCTCTAAGTGGTGCATCATTGATGCAGTGTGCCCTCTAAGTGGTGCGTCATTGATGCAGTGTGCCCTCTAAGTCAATATGGTGCCTCATTGATGCAGTGTGCCCTCTAAGTCAATATGGTGCGTCATTGATGCAGTGTGCCC